GTACACTACGCATATCAGAGCACATAAATGGACTCTCCACTTAATGTCATTGATTTTTATCATAAATAACTCTATGCATGTGTATCATTATATTTCACATTCTCCCTCTGCTTGGACTCTCCCTTTTCTTCATTCTTTGATTTCTTGTTCATTTTCCTCTTTATAATAACTTTCCAATTTCGCCTTTCTTTGTTTCCCAATCTCCTCCATTTCCATCTTCCTGTTATCGGGTACGATGTTGAAGCCTCAATGCAAATATTTTGGTATCCCAAACTGCAGATATGCGTGGAATAACAGGTCCCTAGAGTATTAAATATAAAATCCCTAAGACTATGTGTGCTTTGTCACTCCTAATAATACCTCCCTCATGGTGGATCTTGTTTTCCCTCCCACCTCTTGGCTGCATCACCGAGGGAGGCAGTCTAAGCGGATGTGTGAAAATCTAGGAAGACTACAATCGGTACGGGGATGAAATGTTGAACAAAATGAATAAGACCCTATTGGTAGGAGCTTGCAAATAAATGTTCATATAATATGTATCAAAATAAATGTTACAAACTTCTAAGGCATGTAGAGGGGTCGAAAAGAATCACTTTTGGTTCTAGAACATAATATAGTGAAAAATTGCCTGTTACGGAGCTAACACTTATGTCATTTGCCCCTTATTGTTACGCAATCTCTCAGGCACAGCTCTTCGGTAGGTACACGAGATGACTGCGTTAGAACGTGAGCTGCTGAACATATGTGCATAAGGAGTTGCCTAAAAATCAGGGACAAATATTACATGTGTAACCCAAGAGTGTCTACTGGTAATTATTCCTTAAATTCGTTCTAAAATGTAATGTATGCAACTCGTACGGATCATGGTGTATTAATTTCAAAGTAAGTACGCCAAAGATCTTCGACTATTTAATTTGTATGCCGAAGACACTTTCTGTACTAGTTACGTAAATAACTATTTTCTTAATAAGGACCTTATATAGACATATTTCGTTTGTCAGATTAACTCCATAGCTATGAATAGGATACTGTGTACTATCAATTGTCGTGGCACGACCGGTAACTTTTTTAACTAGAGCTACAACACATACTTTCTCGCATTATTTGTAACGGTTACGTACTATTATGGAGTTATATCCCCAAACATTTCCATCCCGCAAAAAATATTTGCTCGGTCTTAGGGATTTGAACACAAGCACTTAGGTTTCATAAGCAACGAACTTGTCCATTACACCACCTTGCTAATGGCGTTCGAACGATCCTGTCATAAAAAAGAAAGTTGAATTGTTGTAATTATCGAACTTTCAGAGGTTTTAATAAAAATCGGATTTATGCTGAATTATTAAGCGACCGTTGCTCGCTTAAAGTAACTAGAAGAAAAATAATTAAAACCGCCTTTGCGAAGATATTGTGTTAGTATTTTTTTTTAAATTGTCACGATTCCACTTAAAATAAAGTGAAAATACACATATTTTTTAAAAAAATGTACATGTACATTTCTTTTAATTGTACATTGTACAAGATCTAATGTTGAACTGATTTCGTGAAAAAATCTCTACCTTCAGCGCTGTATTTGTAGGTGAAGGTGCAGAAAGCGTTCAACTTTCGCAAATTGCGAAAATTCAGAGACTTTACTGGAAATAGGACAGCCAAAATTTTTATAATGCTACTTTGCTTGTTGAAGAAAAAAAAATGGGGAGAACCATTCTTGAGAAAATTGTGAAAATGCCGTGCAATAATGTTATGATATAACTTGGTTATAATGTATACTATTCTCTTTTTTTTTTGTGAGAATTATACATAATACAAGTCTTCACTATTGTGTATGGAATAAAACTTCACGGCATCAGTTCCGTTATTACAAGACGCGGAAAGTTTCCCTAGGTCGTCAACAAAACGAAAAACCTTTATTGCAGCAGATGCAGCTCTTACCATTTTCTACATTATCACCTCCAGAAATGAGACAAGTCATACGGTGAATCAACATTTGTTTCCTTGTGTGGTAGAATTCTGCTGCCTAGGAATAGTACCACTGTTTGACAGCCACCTGCGTATCATGATGCCCTGATGTGAAGCGCATTGTGGCAGGTATTTTAAAAGCAAATGAAAAACCATTTATTGGATGTAAAATGTAACCGAGTAAAAAACTCCAGAACCAAATAATTGTTAAGAAGCTATGAAATTTAAAATGATGAAAATTGTTTTACGAATTTTACTAGAATATTATTTTATGGAGATAATTGCAAACTTGTAAACCGTCCTGAACGTCTGGATACTAATGTGATATTTTCTTAATAAGTCAAAAGTGAGTGGTCAACCTGCGTTTCCTTTAATTCTTCTCCAATCTAGGACGGAAAATGCCGTGTATTGTTGGTATGTCGCGAATTGCTAACCATTTGTTCATCTCCCTTGTATTGTGTATTAGTCATGGGTGAGGAGAGTGTGTGATTCTGTCATGGCAACGTGACCAAAAGAATTAGCTGCCGATTCTTTTCTTTCATTAACATTGATTGCCTCACTTTGATTTGACGCGCACATTGTGCGCAGTTTAGGAAGTATAGAAGCTCTACATACTGTTTTTGTATTTGCACGAAATAAAATCGCCAGTAGACTTGAGGATGGGACCGTCTCAATAATGCTGCCAAGTATTTTGGTTAATCTCTTTAATTCGAAGTTTCGTGAGAAATATGTAATGTTTCATTATTTACCCAAGATGAAAGGAATTTAGTACGAAGTTTAAAGTTGGCTCTAAGTTGGCTCTTGGTTAAAGGATGGCAATTTACTGTATAATCTGGAAAAGTCATTTCTAAATAAAATGGGTAGTTCATTAATCTGGAAAAGTCGGGGAGAAATTAAGGAATTTACAGAATGCTAGCAGTAGAAGACATTGTGATCATTATAAAACTTTTAATAACATTAGTACGTACTAGTTTTATTCGGCAAAGATGTGAAGTAAATTTTGTAAATGTGTTGTTAATGGTGTAATTAGAAAACTGACGGATAAATAACGACGAGACGCTGAGATACCACGAAGAAAAAGGCAGATTTGGAATCAGCTTTAGATTATTGACCCAAGTTTTGTTTGTATTTAATATTTTCTATAAGTTCTTTTAACTTAGCAAATTTTAACAGAAAAAATGAAACAAACACTCTGGAAAATGGGAAAATGTCGGACATTTTGTGCAAGGGAAGAGTGCCCAACCTGATGTTCGTTCTACTTAATCTCCTAGAATGTTTCTATAACGGTTTGTGAAACAATCTTACTGGCAAACCTTGGTCTTCGCAGATGTGTTCAATACTAAAATATTTTAAACCAATGGGATTGTGTATATAAATTTGATTTTCGATTTCAAGAGTATGTATTCAATGACCCATTTATATTCTAATGAGAATATGCTATTTCTGGTGATAGTATTACTCAGTAAAGCAATAGTCACACACTTCTAGATCTGACGTCGCAGTCCGGTACCATCGTAAGCAGAGCGACAAGCGTTTTTATGATTTTTTCGCAGTTAGGATTATCTCCATTCTCTAGAAGATACATCTTACTTCCGTTGCATTTTCTGAGTTTCTGTAAAATGTTCTGTTGTATTTCTATGTTAGCAAGGTAGAAATATTGAAATCAACCTCAAGATACAAACGAGTCTAAAGTTTTCATTTTGATAGAAACCGCAGTATTTTTGTAATTGTTAGAGTAATTGGTTTAATTAGTACATTAATTCTCTTAATGAGAATACTGTCGCGAGTAATCACTTTTGTTGATATGTTGAGCCTAAGTTTGTGATGAGGTTTTTTATAGCACTAACCACTACGAAAATTTCAATAAGGAACTGAACGGACCATCTCGTACGCGTGGGCAATACAGCAAATAAAGCCTCATCGTTTTGAATTTGTAAATGGATGTTTAATATTTTGGTGTTTTTGAGCCAATTTTTAGACACGAAATAGTAACTTTTTTAAACTTTTCTGTCACTCTTGCACTATTTCCGCCGAGCATCATTTGCGTCGAAGCAGACGATTGATTTACAAGAAGAGAAAGAGAGCAATCCTCAAAAACTACGTAGTTAAACTTCATACCTGTTAGGTCGTTTCAGAATATTGCACTCGTTTACGGGCGCAATAAAGTAGGTAAGAAGAAAGAAATGAAACAATGTATGTAGTAAGTCTTCGTATCAATAGATCACTTGTAGATCTATTGATCTTCGCGCTTCGTATCAATAGATCACTTTCCAGATTTTTAACTAATTCGAAAGACATGCCATCAAACATTGCTTTGTGTCTAAACTATGAATTGCTGTTGGACGAATAAGCAATATTCGGCATACTGTGTAGGTATCTGAATTTTGCGTTTTCTGTAAGTTATTTTCCATCAACATGTAATTCAAATGCTGATAGTTGGTGAGAAATTGTCGGAATTATTTTCATTGGGACACCTCGTCTAGCCAGACAGATTGTGAGTGACTGTTCCGTTATGTTTAGTGACGTAAGTTGGGAATGTGGCATATGGAAAGCCTTTGCAGCAAAACCTCGTATGAACAAATACTAAAATGTAAACGCTATGAAGGGAGGAGGGTCAGCGAAGGAGATGATTATATCCCGCTGTAAACCAAATGCTTTTGCCACTAAGATACTACTTCTCGAGGGGTAGAAGATTCGATGCAGTTACTGCGGCGGTGGTGTCAGTTACGGATACCATATCTCCTAAGCCTACGTAATCAGAATGTATCTCTTGATCAAGATTTCAGTGCCTTCCTTAACGAAACAAAATGCGGTGGGGCTGATTTACTGTCATCAGTGCAGCGTTATAAGTACATTTGTCCACAGGTTTTTCTTTCTTCTTTGTACTTCCGCGGCAAGACCCTTAAAAATACTGCCCGAGGAGGTTGTTCCGTACCCTCTCACACCCACTCACCCCTCAGCCCTGCCCCCAGCTACGCCACTGGACAGTGATTGTGTGCAGCTGTTCCGCCATCTTATGTTGGCCACGCTGTGTGCTCCAGGTGCGGGCATCAAGATGGAGCACTTCCAGCCAGCGCTAGACCCGCGCAAGCAGGAGCTTCTGGAGGCCCGCTTCCTCGGCCAGCGGGTGAGTGGAGAGCGCGCGCCTTGTTTCTAAAAAGTTTGTTTGCAAAGAAAAAAATGAATATAAAGAAGTGGTCATTGCTCTTGGAAAGGGGATGGAAGAGAGAAATGAGTCTATTGTCGGGACCAAACTGATGTCGCCGAGTTAATCCCCTAAAACTTCTGTTCAGAATTATGTGCATACTACTATGGTGTGTGGTTAAGGTGTAGGGTTTTCCTGATGAAATTTTACTCTTTTCTATTTCTGTTATTTTTTGTATTGCGCTTGTGTTAAACAGTAAAAGTTTTTCTTTCAAGGTTTCGAATGTATAGATTCTAATATTTTCAATGCCTGAACTGGAAATTAAACAGTTACTGTATATATCATTGTAGTTTTGGGGGCCTTAGAACACAATATTGAATGTTGCGAAAATTCCGTTTGGATTCCACACAGCATCGCTTCGTTAAACTTTTAAATAGGCTTTCATTCGCTTATTTAAACTGAACATCAAATTGTCTTTACTTGTTGAAGTATTAGACTTGTACACTTATTGTTTCCATCACTGTAAATATTTTTGAGAAATTAAATAAAATCGATATTGTATGAGTTTTACAAATTAGTGTGGTATATTTTAATACAGAGCCTTGCTTCTCTTAGAGCGGTTTTTTTATAACACTTAACTTTCTTTCCGTGGTATATCTCATATGAAGAAATTGATATTTGAGCCCGCAGTCACGTTCGACCGCGTGGAGACTTAACGGTTATTAATAATTGAAAAGAATTCAGACACTTTCCAAAACAATAGTTTTCCTCTTCCGCATCATTCACCTTCCTCGCATGACGTTTGACGTCATGCTCGCATGACGTTTGATTCTCCACTCCTCCCCCTCGTACACCCAACCCCCTCGTACATCCCAACTCCTCGTACACCCCAACTCCTCGTACACCCCAACTCCTCGTACACCC